ATTCTTACAATTAGTACTGTTGTTAAACTAGATTTACAGATAACAGGTTTCATTTCTTGAAAAAAGGTTGGAGCTGCATCCTTTGACAGCGAGGCAAGGAAATGATGGCGACGAAAGGAGTTGATAAACTGATAGCGTGTAAAAGCTGTTGCGTGAAGGACCTTCGCTTGTGGAATTAAAAAATTCAATTTTTTATTGGTAGGTGCCGTAAAGTAGATGATTCTCCATCAAGTTTGAACGAAGAGCAGAAAGCGTTCCCCAAACTCATCTCGAGCGTCACCAGGCCTGAATACTGCTCCGTGGCAATACCAAGCATTACAGAAAGTACGAGACGTACACCTTGGGTGCCGACACGTTTAGTTATTTCATTTATCCCGATGTTTTGCGGGAGGTCGACAATCTTTTTAAGCAGAGATTCAAGAAACCCAAGGGATTTGTTCCCCCTTTTGCCGAATTTGAGGCTTTTTTAAAATACAACCTGCCCGAGTATATCCGCGATCAGGGCAGGTACATTACTAGCGTGCTCGCATACGAAGCGGTGACAAAAATCATTATGGATTTGGAAAAATGTTCCTATGAAAAGGCAACAGGAATCGGTTTGGGGGAAGAACTCCCAACCAGTACTCCATACGGGATTCACTGGCAAACGCTAATAGAGGAGCGAGACCAAAGAAGAGAGACCATCCGCAAACAGCAGGAGAAGGAAAGTAGAAAGTCGAAAAGAAAGCAGAAGACACCGAGAAAACTAAGAAAAACTGTACCATACCACAATTAAAGCTGTGTTCTAAATGGCACTGAAAACATGCAGCCCTTCTAAACCACCCTTAAACTGCACTGTTCGCGTTTTCTTGAGATGGGTGTAACTGAGCATTGAGACGAGTTCATCGTACAGTAAGGTTTACATTACAACTATTTCTTTTTGCAATGATTGAAAATGTCAGGTGATAAGTTCTTCCATACAGGAAATGCTCACACGAGCTTCTAGTCTTAGAAAATATACGTTGTCTGTGTTGCCGTTTCACAGAGTAAACATGTTGAGATGGCACAAAATGGCATTGAGATGAGTTAATCCTACAATCCTTACATTAAAACTGTTTTAGCAATAACTGAAATGTCACGTGACAAGTTATTCCATGTCGGAAATACTCACACGACCTCCTAGTCTTAGTAAATAAACGTTGTGTGAGTTGCCGTTTCACAGCGTAAACGTATTGAGATGGGTCTAAACGGCATTGAGATGAGTTAATCCTACAGTATGGTTTACATTAAAAGTGTTTGTGCAATAACTGAAATGTCACGTGAAAAGTTATTCCATACTGGAAATGCTCACACTAGCTGATAGTCTTGGTAAATATACGCTGTTCGTGTTGCCGTTTCACACAGTAAACGTGTTGAGATGGGTCTAAAGGGCATTGAGATGAGTTAATCCTACAGTGGGGTTTAAATTAAAACTGTTTGTGCAATAACTGAAATGTCACGTGACAAGTTATTCCATACCGGAAATGCTCACAGGAGCTTCTAGTCTTAGTAAATACACGCTGTTCGTGTTGCCGTTTCACAAAGTAAACTTGTTGAGATGGGACAAAAGAGCATTGACATGAGTTAATCCTACAGTGGGGTTTACATTAAAACTGTTTTAGCAATAACTGAAATGTCACGTGATAAGTTATTCTACACCGGAAATGCTCACACGATCTTCTTGTTTTAGTAAATGTACGCTGTTCGTGTTGCCGTTTCACACAGTAAACGTGTTGAGATGGGACAAAAGAGCATTGAGATGAGTTTATCCTACAGTGGGGTTTACATTAAAACTGTTTTAGCAATAACTGAAATGTCAGGTGACAAGTTATTCCATGTCGGAAATGCTCACACGAGCTCCTAGTCTTAGTAAATAAACGTTGTGTGAGTTGCCGTTTCGCACAGTAAACGTGTTGAGATGGGTCTAAAGAGCATTGAGATGAGTTAATTGTACAGTGAGGTTTACATTAAAACTGGTTTTGTAAGAATTGAAATGTCAGGTGACAAGTTATTCCATGTCGGAAATACTTACACCAGCTTCTAGTTTTAGTAAATGTACACTGTTCGTGTTGCCGTTTCACAGAGTAAACGTGTTGAGATGGGACAAAAGAGCATTGAGATGAGTTAATCCTACAGTGGGGCTTACATTAAAACTGTTTTAGCAATACCTGAAATGTCACGTGACAAGTTATTCCATACCGGAAATGCTCACACCAGCTGATAGTCTTGGTAAATATACGCTGTTCGTGTTGCCGTTTCACACAGTAAACGTGTTGAGATGGGTCTAAAGAACATTGAGACGAGTTAATTGTACAGTGAGGTTTACATTGAAACTGTTTTTGCAATAACTGAAATGTCACGTGACAAGTTATTCCATACCGGAAACGCTCGTACGAGCTTCAAGTCACAGTAAATGTACGTTGTTCGTGATGCCGTTTCGCACAGTAAACGTGTTGAGATGGGTGTAAAGAGCATTGAGATG